CTGGCCGTGACGACACTCGCCGCCGCAGCTGGCAGTGCAGATGGCTACGTAATCAAGGTCAACCCGGCGGAGAGCCAGAACCTGCTGATCCTCGCGCTCCCGGTCGGCTTGGGGGCTTGGGCGATGGCAGCGGGGGTGCTGCTGGCAGCCGTGCTGCTAGGCGCTGCGTGGCGGCGCAAGCAGCAGCGAAGGTGCGGAGGGGCGGCCGGCGGGCGCGGCAGCAACCGCAGAGCTCGCATCCCCCGCGCAGGCAGGTCGCGCGCAGCGCTGGTGGTGACGGCGCTCACGACAGCCGCCGGGGAGACACAGGGCCAGGAAGTGACAGCGGTCGACAGCAGGGCCCAAGGGGCCACGCTTCGCTGGGAACCGCAGATGGGCACAGTGGCGATCGTTTTCCCAGTGGGGACAGCGCTGAAGATGGTGGCCACGATCGCAGTGCTGCTTGCGGCGGGCATCGGGGCGCTCGGCTGCTGCTGCTGCGGGATGGCCAAGAAGAGCGAGGAGAGGCCGGAGCCAGAAGCGCAGCAGGCCACAGCGCAGCAGACACCTAAGGCGCACAGGCCTCACAGGCAGCCGCAGAGGACGTACTGCGACGCGGGGGTGATGGGCCCGGTGCACTACAACGGCGTGAGGTACGTGCACGAGACCCAGGGCTTCCGCCGGGCCAACGAAGTGACGCGGGAGGTAGGTGACCCCGTCGGGGCACCGCAGGCAGCCTGAATGTCCCCGTGGAGGGGAACAGAGGCCGCACCGTGCGGGGCTGCCGCCGGCCAGCGGCCGAGCGGGCAGCAGTGGACCGCCGCTGGCAACCGCCGTGCGGGCGGCCGCGCGGCGCCGGCTGAGGTCAGCCTGGCGCTCGCGATCAGCTTCGCACTTGCGAACAAGCTGGGCGCGTGCTGCGGCCGTGCTGCCCGTGGGCAGGAGCCGCGCCAGCCTGGCACCCGGCAGTGCCGTCAGGAGGGCGGCAGTGGCGGCTACGAAGGAGCGCCGGCGGCTGGCCCAGCCAGGGCTGCCGCACAGGGCGCAGGAGAGACCACCGCCGCCGGCGCCCGCCGTGCGAGCGGTAGCGCGGCGCCGGCTGAGCTCAGCCTGGCGCTCGCGCTCAGCTTTGCGCTTGCGAGCAGCTGGGCGCGGCGCGGCGGCAGCTGGCGCCTGGGGCAAGGGCGCCGCGCCGGCCCGGCAACCGGCAGTGCCGTCATGGGGGACGGCGGTGGCGGCTACGTGGGGCGCCGGCGGCCAGCCCAGCCAGGGCTGCCGCCTAGGGCGCGCGAAGAACCACCGCAGGCGCCGGCGGCGTGCCGCCCTGCGCCTGCGGACCCACCTTGCTGGGCAGACGTGGCAGCGTGCCGCGGATGCCAGGACTGTTCTACGCCGACAAGGTCGGCGACTACGCGACCCACTACAGCTAGTTCGGCGCGGCAGTGGCTCGCAGGGGGAGGATGGCGGCGCGGCCCGCTACGCGTGGCCGAAGACGGCGCCGGCGCGTGGTGCGCCGGGCGCCGGCACAGAGGCGCAGCACTGCCTCTCTGGCAAAAAGGTCGTCGTCATCATCTGAGGCTGCGCCTGTCCCTCGTCTCTCCCCTCTTGAGCCCACGCCTACCTGGCTCAAGAGGTTTTAGTTTACCAGTGCTGCTTGAGGGGATATCTAGGATGTTTGGTAAAACTGATGGATCTCCCCGCGCCCAGAACTGGCGCGGGCTTCCACTTGCGGTTCCCTTGCTCCTGCCCTTGCCTCTTGCTTGCCCTTTCTCTCTCCCTCTCTCTTCACCGCCGCTTGGCGGCTCAAGCCTTTTCAAGGCCAAGCTGGCCCACCCTGGGAGCCCCCGTAGGGCTCCCTACCCGCCCTGTTCTGGATTTTTACAGTGCCACCGAGGCGCTAAGGTGCCTCGGTGGCGGCGTGGCCCGCTACGCGTGGCCGAAGACGGCGCCGGCGCGTGGTGCGCCGGGCGCCGGCACAGAGGCGCAGCACTGCCTCTCTGGCAAAAAGGTCGTCGTCATCATCTGAGGCTGCGCCTGTCCCTCGTCTCTCCCCTCTTGAGCCCACGCCTACCTGGCTCAAGAGGTTTTAGTTTACCAGTGCTGCTTGAGGGGATATCCATGGCTTCCACAGCAGCGACGCTTAGTCCTGCGTCTGGACGCGCTTCCAAAGATGAATCGGCGTTGGGAGCCAGGTTCCACTCCGAGATACCCATGTCAGGCGCCGCAGGCCTCAAGACGACCAAGTCCGCCGACGTTTTCAGATCGGGCTTCAGTTCATCAGAGTTTTTCGTTCAGCATGGAGGTGTCTCTGGTCATGGTTCGCCACATGTTAGCAGAGTCTGCTGCAACTCTGACTAATAAGTTTGCCTCCGAGCAATCAAACACATTGAACTTCTCGCGGATGAGGAGGAAGCCTTTGCGCAGATCGGCGTGCGATGGGAATCCAGACGGACAAAGTTCGAGCAGGGCTCTCAACGGCTTTGCGTGGAGCTTGAGGCCAATCAAGTTCACAGTCGCGCCGCGCGACTTCTCGCACCGGCTTCCGTCCCAAAGCAAACCAGGGTCACGAAGGTTACGCACTTCTCTCCAAGCATTCACTAGTTGCGCGTCCTTGAAGTAGCCAGTCAATGGCCGAGGCATTGGTTCCGCTTGCTCCCCCATTGACAAGGCAATGGGCACCCGCCGTCGCAAGCTCGAAACTGGCCAAAATTGGCACCTTGAGCCAAAATGGCGAGCTACTTCGGGCGGAGAAGGATAGGAGGGAAGGGCGAACCTCTCTCTCCCCCACCCCTCCTCCCTCCCTCCCAACACACTTCCACCACAACCTCCCACTTGCAACCCCCTCTCCCCCCCTTCTGCACCCCTGCTATCTAGTCCCCTTGTCCCTTCTGTCACTCCCCCTTCCCGCTGGTGGTGGCGACGGACATGTTATGATACGGTCAGCTGATATAAGTTCGCATAAGATTAGATAGCATTCTAAAAGTTAATATGATATGATACCAGAGAAAAGCCCAATCACAATATTTGTAGGGCTGTAGGGCGACGGGCTATACGATGATATGACCATAGGGCTAGGGCTCTAGGACTATAAGGCTATAGGGCTATAGGGCTATAGCAACATAGGGCTGTAGGGCTACAAGGCAATATGGCTATAGGGCTACAGGCCTATAAGGTTATAGGGCTATAGGGCGATTGGGCTATAGGGCATAAGGACTGTAGGGCTACAGGGCTATTAGGCTATAGGGCTATTAGGGCTATAGGGCTATAGGGCTATAGGTCTATAGCCGTATAGGGATATAGGGCTATAGAGCTATAGGGCTATAGGGCGATAGAGCACCCGGGCAACCCCGGGCCCCCCGGTCCCCCGGGCACCCGGGCACGGCCACCGAAATCGGGCAACCGGGCACCCCAGGGCACCCCCGGGCACCCCCGGGCACCCCCGGGCACCCCTGGGCACCGGGCCGCCGGCCACCAAATCGGCGCCGCACCTCACCTAACCATATGAATCCGCTAGGACCCCTACAGAGGCAAGCTCTGATTGGGGAATAAGTTCAGTTCATATGCGTTCAATTGCTATAAGTTATTTATGTTGTTACGCTTCCTGCTGAATTAGTTAACTTGCTAATGTGGGCCCCCCAAGGACGGCGAGGTCCCGCTCAGGTCTGCGCAGTGCCTCACTCCGCTGGACCCACCAGCAGCCCTCGAAAGTGGCGAGCCCACCAGGAGCCCTCGAAAGTGGCGACCGTTTCGCAGATCGCAGCCCACCAGGGACGGGGAGGTCCCGCTCAGGTCCGCGCGGTGCCTCACTCCGCTGGACCCGCCAGCAGCTTTCGAAAGCGGCGACAGTTTCGCAGATCGCAGCCCCCCAGGGACGGGGAGCCCCCGCTCAGATCCGCGCGGTGCCTCACTCCGCTGGACCCACGAAAGCGGCGACCGTTTCGCAGATCGCAGCCCCCCCAGGGACGGGGATGTCCCGCTCAGGTCCGCGCGGTGCTTCCCTCCGCTGGACCCGCCAGCAGCCCTCGAAAGTGGCGACAGTTTCGCAGATCGTAGCCCCCCAGGGACGGAGAGGTCCCGCTCAGGTCCGCGCGGTGCCGCACTCCGCTGCGCCCCCCAGCAGCCCTCGAAAGTGGCGACAGTTTCACAGATCGCAGACAGTTTCGCAGATCGCAGCCCCCCAGGGACGGGGAGGTCCCGCTCAGGTCCGCGCGGTGCCTCATTCCGCTGGACCCGCCAGCAGCTTTCGAAAGTGGCGACAGTTTCGCAGATCGTAGCCCCCCAGGGACGGAGAGGTCCCGCTCAGGTCCGCGCGGTGCCTCACTCCGCTGCGCCCCCCAGCAGCCCTCGAAAGTGGCGACAGTTTCACAGATCGCAGACAGTTTCGCAGATCGCAGCCCCCCAGGGATGGGGAGGTCCCGCTCAGGTCCGCGCGGTGCCTCATTCCGCTGGACCCGCCAGCAGCCTTCGAAAGTCGCGACAGCTTCGCAGATCGCAGCCCCCCAGGGACGGGGAGGTCCCGCTCAGGTCCGCGCGGTGCTTCATTCCGCTGGACCCACCAGCAGCCCTCGAAAGTGGCGACCGTTTCGCAGATCGTCGCCCCCCAGGCAATGCAAGAGGAGACAAGAAGGAGGGGGGGCGGGAGGCGGGAGGCAGGAGGCAGGAGGCGGGAGGGGGGGGCGAGACGACGCGACCGCAGAGCTCTTCTATTCAGAACGAATACCCAACTAAGAAGGGTTGGGACAAAAAATGAATTACCGGCCTCATTCGGCGCCGAACGAGCCCGAATCGGAGGACGTGGGTTATTTTTTGACGGTCCCGACCGAGGCCCGATAGAGGGCCCCGGGAGGCCAAAAATAGCGAAAGACCTCTCCCGTCGTGATGTTCTCACAGCGCGAGGGGGTCTGGGAAGGTCACTCCTGCCCAGGGTCACTCTTGCGTGTTGGCGATTGTGGCAGTGCTTCGCCTCCTCTCCGCCGCCGCCGCCGCGGCTTCCCTCGGTGCCCCTCTCCCCCCGCCCCCAGGCCGCCGGCCTGCCCATCGGCGCTGTGCTCATGACGGATGAGGCCGTCGGAGCCCCTGGGAGGGCAGGGGCGGAGGGGGGCCCTCCACCTGGAGCCCCTGGGAGGGAAGGGGCGGAGGGGGGCCCTCCACCTGGGGAGGGAGGGCACACCTCCACAAGAGACGTCGGCTTCTGTGGGAGGTTCTCTGGCAGGGCTCGAGCTAAGTGGCGTTTCGGCGATTTGGTGGGCCGTGTCCGTTTCGCTTTCGTGCTGCAGCAAAGGCGGCACGAAGACAGCACGAGTGAAAACGAAACCAAAACGAACACGGAAAACACTGTTTAGGTCGAGCTCTGCTCCCTGGACGGAATGAGAGAAACCTGCATCAACAGAAGTTTTCGGAGGTCCTCGCGAGTTTCATGTATCGGAGCTGGGCCCTTCCGGCGGCGCCTCCGGCGCATCCCCTGGCGCGCTCCGGGGAGAAGGGCCCGGCGCCGATCCGAGAGTTCCGCGCGGCCTCGAAGAAACCTTGCCTGCTTAGACCACAGAAGTCGGCCTCTGTTGGGGGTTCTCCGGGGCGGCCCGCAAGGGCGAGCGGCGTGCAGCCCCGGGATCGTCTGCGCCGAGGTGCTCGCGTCAGCAGCCTGCGGCAGCGCCCGCTCGTGCAACTGAGGAAGGATCGGCGGCGAGCCAGGGGTTGGAAGTGAGAAGGAGAAGGCCTTCTCAGAAGGCTCGGAAGTCCCCTGGCCTTCTGAACAATGTTCGAAGTTTTCCCCGAAAGCGCGCAACAAACTTCTCAGAAGGGGCGCGGGTCTCTGAGAAGTCCCGCCGCCTGCTGAGAAGGCTTTCTCCTTCTCATTCCCCCCCTCTCGCGCGCCGCCGAGAGGAGAGCGCACCTCCGCCCCCACCTGGCCCAAAAAACCCTCCA